CAGGGAGATGCTCCACTCCCTTCATCATCTTGGTGGCTCTGTGCTGGACTCTCTCCAGCAGTTCCCTGTCCTTCCTGAACTGCGGGGCCCAGAACTATCCCTAATCCACCTCCATAGCAGCTCAATCAGTAACATTAAATTAAATTAAATTTCTCCAGCTGCTCTGAACTGAACTGTCTCTAAAGATGGGAAAAGCACCAGGGTTGGTTCATACATCCCAGAAACTACATGCTAAAGGAGGAGAGATGTGTGTGTCTGCAGGCAGAGTCGGCAGAGACAGAAGCATGAACATTATTTGGCAATAAAAATTGATTCCTCACTAATTTATTGCTTTTCTTTGAAGCAGCCAGCAAGCACATGACTAAAACATGACACATTTGTCTACCTGAATTTCCAAATGATCCAGCAAGGGCTCTTCAAGAAGCTAAGCAGCCTCAGGAAGGTCCCATCTAGACAGGTGCTGTTAGGAGGACAGGAAAAAAAGATCGGAGGGATAAAAGTTGAGATTTCAGAGTGAAGGATTTGGTCTTAGTCTTGTGCCGATCAATGATTTCAACCAAAAGAGAGAAAAAAAACAAAAGGTGGCCAAGGTTGCTAACCAAAATAAGGGACTCACAAAGGCAAGGTCTTGCTGATGGTCCTTCTGCTACAGAATGACTCTGGGAGGAAATACAGAGGGAATTCTTTGGAAATGTTTGCTAAAGGCTGCTGATGGAGAAAACAATTGCATCTCTGTCTGTATGGATGGACTCTGAGCTGATTTTCCTCACGGAAACATCCTGGGGTCAGGACAGACCTTTGAAAAACCTCAGCTCAAGGATCAGTAGTGGTCAGAAAAACCAAACTCAATGTCTAGAGGTATGGGCAGGGAGCCTGGGAGGGCACAGCTGTGTCCACCAACTCCACGCAGTGGGGCTCCCCTACCTGAAAAGGAAACAATTTCCAGTGGTAGGACCTGAACAGCAGCAGGAAGCTCAATAAAGGCCAAATATTCAGGGGGGTTTTTTAAACACATGACCTAGAGACACCAGCTGATGGTCAAGGCAGACAGTAGCTCATCATCTCCTGGTCCTGAGCATCTTCTTGCCGCTTGGTGCTGCAGGCACTAAAACTTACAGTGCCTTCAGGGGTATCCTTGGCACCCCACACCTTACCTGCACCAGTCTGCTGCTGTCAGACCCCTCCTCACATTCACACGGTCTTGCTCACCTGTCCAAACACCAGCCTTGTGAAAGAAATGGAGGAGTTTGCCACCCGTTTAGCAGCCTGATGCAGCACCCCAAAGGCAGTCGGGGAGAGCCTGAGGCCGAGCAAGGGCAGGACTGGGGCTGTGAGGCTGGGAGTGAGGAGCATGGCCAGTTCCTCATGCAGTAGTAGGTAACCTCGTGGTGTGGACATGGAGATCCCTTCAAGCCGCAGCTTTGCACAGTACAAAGTCCTTGGAACAGGTTGATCATAGGTAGTGCTATTTCACCTTCTCTTCTTGGCTGCTTGCTTTGGCTCTCCAACCTGTGGAGCTGATCCAGAATTGTTTGCAGAGACTGGAGGTGTATTTCTCCAAAGATCAAGCTGCAGCCAACCTAACAAGTTGTTCAGGTAACTAATCAGCAAAAAAAAAACCCACCCCAATGTACTACTCTACCTGACAGTCTATTCTCCAAGATAAAGACACGCAAACACCTAATTGCTTCCTTGTCCTTGTTTGCTTCAAAGCTCCTCTTGTCCCTCCGTTTCCATCAAGTTCAATCATCTCCTCAAACTGCAGCCTGACAGCAAGGACAAAAAGATCGCGGCGGAGCAGAGAGCTGAGCAAACAGCAGTTACACGAACCACTCAGACAGATCAGGCACAACCTGGTACTTGGCCTCCGTCGTCTGCAAGAAGTGACAAGCTCTGCAGACGTGTAGGGCCCAGCTGGTACCTACCACGGGTTTCAACCACTTGCGCCACTGGAAGTAGCGCTGGTATCTCTCGGTGTCCTTACTCAGGTCCCACAGGTACTGAGCCAGGTGCCCAGCACTGGGGAAATCATCAACATGGATGAAGGAGTCAGGGGGTAAGAAGTGCTCGTAGTTTTCTCGAGGAGGTCCCAGCACGACAGGGACGGTGCCAGAGGACAAGGCGTTCCTCCAGAGCTTCTCAGTGATGTAGTCTTCATGCAGTGAGTTCTCAAAAGCCAGGTAGAAGTTGTACTGGGACACAGTGGGAAGGAGCTCGTCCACGGGCAGAGGCAAGTGATGTCTCCCATAGATGTCCACAGTGATGTGTTTCTTCAGCTCCTGGTAGTACTTTACCCGGTGGGAGTCTGCTCTCCAGTTGCTGACTACCCAGGCCACCAGCTTGGTCTTGGGTGGGATGTTGAGGGGTTGGAGCTGGTTGAGAACCTGTAGTTCCCCGTAAGGGGCAAAAATGTCCGAGTCTCTCCGGTAAGACATGGTCAGGTTGAAGAGGTTGTCCATGGCACTTAGGTTTGGAGAGTGACTTGGGGACTCCAGGTTGAACCAGATCCAGCGCTGGGAAGGGTGTCTGGGGAGCTGGGCCAGCCCCACCATGTCCCTGTACACATCCCTGTGATGCATAATCACAGCATCAGCCTTTTGGGACCAGCTGTGGTTGACGGTGAAATGACAATCTGGGGTGCTGTAGAGCTCCGAGCAGTTGCTGAAGTTAAAGTGGTGGCCAAACGGCCACTTCCACAGCAGGATGGTCAACCTGTGATCACCTTTTGGTGGGATGCTGGTGTTTCCAGCGTGGGCTGTTTGTGCAGAGGGACTGGAATCATAAAGCTCTGCCTCAGAAATCCTCAACTGACGAAGAGAAATAAAGACGCAGGAGCTGAAGATGAAACTGAAGAGCAGGAAGCTGAGGAGTTTCTTGTAGATCTTCTTCCCTTCCATGAGCTCCGTGAATGGATCTGCAAACACCACAGACAGGACAAGGAGTGATGGGCGCGCCCTGACCCCAGCATGGAGGTGGCTCTGGGTACGCCGTTTGGCGGGAGGTAGGCGCAGGGGTGCTGAGGGGACAGCGTGAAGATCTGAAGCTCCTCGATCTCCAGCAGCCTCTTTGCAGAGAGAAGGGTCTCTCGAGCGCCAGGCACAAGGCGCTTACACCCGCACTGACCCCCGGGGAGCAGATGCCCTTCCAGAGACCCCAGGCTTCCCTCCATCACCGCCCGCCGCCTCTCGCCAGCCCCTTCTCCCCACCCTCATCTCCCGCAGCAGCCGCCGC